ACACACACACACACACACACACACACACACACACACACACACACACAGTGTTTCAGAAAGTACGGGAAAGCACCTTGCATTTAGACCAGGTCACTGGGAGCAGAGTATGGGGTGCTGTGTGTGGGGAGGAAGACTGGTGAACCCTGGGTCTCGGCACCCCAGCTGAGCCTTTGGCTTCAGTCTCTGCTTCTGCAGTCTCTGCCCGTTTTTGAGATGGTGGTGCTGATGGCCCTTTTCACCTAGGTCTCTGTGACTCAATAGTAGCTCCGAGTTTCCCCAGGCAGTGGGACTATTCCGGACTCTTCCCCTCCAGCCTGGGCTGTTTACTTCCTCTGCGCTTCCCCTTCCTGCCTCCTGCTCGGATCACGGTGGCCTCCGTGGGGGTGGGCTGACCCTTCTCTCCAGAGCCCTTTGCCAACGAGCTCCCTCCAAGGGCTGAGTTCCTAGCGGGAGCTGTGGTGATAGCAACGGTCTCATTCTTAAATTGGTTGGTCATTTGGCCTGTCCTGGGCACCTTGCCAGATGGCCAGGGATTCAGAGGTAGCTGCCCCACCTACTGCCTTGAAGAAGTCCTCGGGGACCAGTTTTGCTGGGTGCTCTTTGATCCACCTGTGAACAGCATGTGTCCTTCCCTCTTTCTTTCAGGCCATAGCAGAGCCCCATGGTAGCCAGGTGGGTGAAGGGAGGCGAGGACGTGCCACTTGCCCTTCGGAAGATTCCTGACCTGCAGAGTGAGTGACCAGGTGGTACGGGTGCTGAGGGCAGAGGGTGCTGGGCTGGGGGCGGGGCGGAAGACTACCGCCATGGGCTGTCCTGAGGCCCGTGTCCTCAGAGGGAGGAGGGCACGAGTGGGCTGTCCTGAGACCCGTGTCCTCAGAGGGTGGAGGGCACGAGTGGGCTGTCCTGAGGCCCGTGTCCTCAGAGGGTGGAGGGCCACAGATCCCAAGCCCTCACTGCCAGGAGGCACACTGCTGGTGCTCTGACCCCAGAGCCAGGTGCAAGTGCTTACCAGAAGCAGGAAGGCGCACAGCTCCACCCAAGCCAGGTCAAGATCAAGGGAGAGCGAAGCCCCACAGCCCCAGGGAACAGGCAGCAGCCCCAGAAGCTCAGGAAGCTGCCCGCTGCATACAAGACTCAGGTTTCACTTGTCCTGAAGGGCTTAAGCCCTTGCCGTGGTTTCATCGGGTTGAGAGGCCTGTGTGTTCTCTTTTCTATCTTTCCCCTTAAGTATGTCCAATCACTTGCACGTAAGCTGTGTTTGTCCTGGGCAGTGCTCCTGTGACCAGCTTGTCTCTGCGTTCAGCTTAGGCTCTCCAAGCTTCCGTGGCATGGCTTTCTTCCTCATTATGGGCTAAGAAATGTGGTCGGGCACAAGAAGGCAGGCCCATGCTCCCCGCCATGGCCTTGGCTTCTGAGTAATCGAGCCCAGGAGGAGTGACGTCAGCGTGAAGACGGTGAAGCTCTAAGTAACCTATGGCCTTTCTTTACAAACAAACAAACAAACAAACAAGGGACTTTCCAAGAAAAAAAGTAATTCCAAGGGGTATTCACAGTGAAACAGGAAGACTAAGTGCCCCCATGGCTCCGTTTTCCATCCTGAGCAGGTGCTGGCCATCGTCAGGACCCTGCCATTTCCGTGAAGGGATTGGCCTGCACTCATTCTAAAACTTTCACTGACACGTTGCCCCTTTGCTGGAAACATTGCTTCTGGATCAGAAGCCACTGTGCAGCCATCTGGTGCTTTCCAGAGGGAGGGATTCTTTCCCAAGTCTTAAAATTCCAGTGAGGTAGGGGAAGAACCTGCAGCCAGGTAGAGTTCCTCTGCGGTCGCCAACATTGTCTTCTTCTGGGAATGTGGGAGTCCTCCCTCCCAGGCAGCAGGCAGGCGCTATAAGATGCTTGTGGCCTTGCTGCCAGCTCTGCTCCGGCCGCTGAGGCAGGGCCTCCCGGGGCTGAGCGGGAGCCCACTGCTGCTTCTCGGGAGGTTTGCTTTGTTTTTGTTTTCTGCTACTATGTTAGATTTCTATATTGCATGCCCTTTCATTTGTTCTTAAAATAGACGCCCCCCCCCCGAACCAGAGCTGGTTCTATTTTGATGGAAGGAATAGGGCAGAATTTTGCGTGTACCTAAGTATCACACCTAAAATGACATTGATGCCTGCCTAAGAGTAAGCCACACAGCAGCTGAGATGTCAGGAAAGTTTAATTACGTGCTGCTGGTGGGGCTTTAGCTTCTTGATAATTGGGCTTTTCACAAATGTCATCAGAATCAAGAGAAACCACAGATTCTAAATTATTCATTTGGATGAGAATGGCAAATGAACTGCTCCAAAGTATGCAAGTTAAAAGAAAGTTGTAAAAGTGAGTGGATACTACCTTGGCTCTGAAAACTTGGGGTAGTATTCTCCACTGCTGTCCCAGAACTATGTTAAGGGTGGTAAATATTACAGGTGACCTGTAAGGTCAAGTAAAGTCCTTCCTCCAAAACCTGCTTCCCACCAGTTTCATCACGGCAACAGAAAGCAGACAAGAAATTGCTACTCGTGGTGGGTAAAAATCCACGCAGGCGTCAAGGACCTACTCCCACTTGGATATTAAAGCGTTGAGGTCTAGAGAGGTTAAGAGTTTGTGCTGAGTGGCATGGCTGATCAGCTTCAGGGTCAGGGTTTCCTCTCCTCCAAAGCCTCAACCCCTTACTTAGCTGCCCTCGCCACGCTGGTGCCACTCAGAGAGTCTGGCCTTTCCAGGTCTGCTTTCCCCCTGACACCCACACTCAGCCCTCCCTCTGCTCCCGGGTTCTCTGTCTGTCGGCTGGAGCCGCTGAGGGTTGGAGATACAGGGGCGGCTGCCCTGGGTACATGCAGGCACTGCTCTGGAAATCACTCCCCAGGCAGACAGGACGGAGCCGCTTTTCTGTGTGTTATGCTGGGCACGTTAAGTTCTCTGGATCATCGAGAGATGGTTTAGAGCACTGAGAATGGTGCACAGAGTCCATGCAGGCAATTTGTCATCTTAAAGGAGTCATGATCCATGGCAGAGGTTTGTATCCAGGGGAGGGGGGAGCCTAGAAACAGATGGTCCTTGGAAACTTAGTTTTGCTCCCTGTTTCTGTTATAACAACCTGACAAAAGCAACTGAGGGGGACTCTGCAGAGATGGCTCCGTAGTGGCTTGCTGCTCTCGCAGAGGACTCGGGTCCCAGGACCCAGGCATCACAATACCTGTAGCTCCACCAGTTCTGGGGGCTCTTATTTCTCCTTCTGGCCCCCACAGGCACAGCCCCTCTACACGCGCTTACACATACTTCAGTCCTTTGTGGGGGAAACAAGTAAATGGAGAAAGGACTTATTTTAACTAAAGTTCCAGATTACAGTTGATCACAGGGAGTCGCAGGCACTAGGTCTTAATAGAGCTGGTCACGTCACATCTACCCCAGAGACACAGCAAGGACAGCAGGGCTCTTCAGCCTGCTTTCTCTTCTCCCGTGTAGTTCAGGGTTCCCTGCCTAGAGAACGATGCCAACCACAGCAGCTGGGTCTTCCTACCGTTACATAGTCACCACAATCCACACCCCCCCACACACACAGACAGTCCCTCACTGAGGCTCTTCCTCCCATGTGATTGTAGATTGTGCCGAACTGACAATCAAAACTAGCTGGCCCAGGTGCCAAGGGGTGACTGTTCAATCTTATTGCACACGGTGATATACTTACAGCATGTGGCAGAACGTTAGCACCAAACAGCGGGACTCTGCCAGCACCTTTCCTGGAAGTCCCACCAAAAGCGTTGTCAGACACATCTTTCCCTGTCATTCTCTAGGTGGTCTGAGGAGCCTGACCATGGATGCCGTTCACGTTGGCATGTCCAGGGCATCGCTGGTGAAGCACAGCAATGGGGTTGGCCTCAAGGCCCACCGCCCTCGGGTCATGTCTAAGAGCGGACACAGCAATGTGAGGATTGACAAAGTGGACGGCATCTACCTGCTCTACCTGCAGGACCTGTGGACCACGGTCATAGACATGAAGTGGCGCTACAAGCTCACCCTGTTTGCCGCCACCTTTGTGATGACATGGTTTCTCTTCGGTGTGGTCTATTACGCCATAGCCTTTATCCACGGCGACCTGGAGCCTGCAGAGCCTAGTTCTAACCACACGCCCTGCATCATGAGAGTGGACTCTCTGACCGGGGCCTTCCTCTTCTCCTTGGAATCCCAGACCACCATTGGCTACGGGGTCCGTTCCATCACGGAGGAGTGTCCTCATGCCATCTTCCTCTTGGTTGCCCAGCTGGTCATCACCACGTTGATTGAGATTTTCATCACCGGGACCTTCCTGGCCAAAATTGCGAGACCCAAAAAGCGAGCCGAGACCATCAAGTTCAGCCACTGTGCGGTCATCAGCAAGCAGAACGGGAAGCTGTGCCTGGTCATCCAGGTGGCCAACATGAGGAAGAGCCTCTTGATCCAGTGCCAGCTCTCGGGGAAACTTCTCCAGACGCACGTCACCAAAGAGGGGGAGCGCATCCTCCTCAACCAGGCCACGGTCAGGTTCCACGTGGACTCGTCGTCCGAGAGCCCCTTCCTCATCCTGCCCATGACCTTCTACCACGTGCTGGATGAGACAAGCCCGCTGCGGGACCTCACGCCTCAGAACCTGAAGGAGAAGGAGTTTGAGCTGGTGGTGCTTCTCAACGCCACCGTGGAGTCCACCAGTGCCGTGTGCCAGAGCCGCACGTCCTACGTCCCCGAAGAGATTTACTGGGGCTTTGAGTTTGTGCCCGTGGTCTCTCTCTCCAAGAACGGGAAGTACGTGGCCGACTTCAGCCAGTTCGAGCAGATCCGCAAGAGCCCGGACTGCACCTTCTACTGTGCCGATTCGGAGAAGCAGAAGCTGGAAGAGCAGTACCGGCAGGAGGACCAGAGGGAGCGGGAGCTGAGGAGCCTCCTGCTGCAGCAGAGCAACGTGTGAGCCCGGGCCCCTGGGCGCCCCTGGCTCTGCTAAACAGGGGCTCCTCTCGGAGGCCGGGCCAGGTGGGACCTGCCACACGGCCACACAGATGGTCACGGTTCAGCTTTCCCTCTGTCTGGAGGCTGAGCAAGCATTTCTGAACATAAGAGTGCCTGGTCAGAGGTGAACACTCAAAATCAGATTCTGCCCCCGACCCCCTGAAATGGAACCCTGTCCTGAAGAAGTGAGCACAGGAAGGTGGAGAGGCTTCCTGCTGAGGGGCAGACATACAGCAATGCTGATGTAGATTAAATGAATGTCCAGGCAAGAGCATCATCGTGTAAGACAAAGTATTTATTAGCCACCCTTCAAAGGCGCCAGTGGCCAGGTCTGAGGTGTGACTCACTTTGCTGTGGCTTAAGAGCCTGCTCTTTCTCTTGTTCCAGTACTTAAGTTGTTATTTGTAATGGCGGTCATCTGGTAATGGCTCAAAAGTGTTGGCAAAGAAAGTGAGGATGTTAAGCTTGCAAAATACAGTCATTTTCTGTTCACAATTTTCAATGGATTTAATTGTGTAGGGTGAAAGCAATCAAGTCAGGAATCAAGAGTTCTGAAAGTGTGTTGATACCTTGATTCCATTGTCCCATTATTTTTGGGGGAAGAGTGTACTAGTCTCTTTTTCCTTCAAAATGTCCTTCACAGACAAGCCAACCAGCACCATTTAGGGACATACTGGCAACCTGCACAGTCTGGTTTCAGCCAGGCTCACAGAACCGTCAGTACCATAGGCTCTGCTCTGAGTAATGTTTTAGTGTGATTTTTCTGTGGATCTATCTAGATCCACACAGGAAAATGTCTGTGTGAGTGCCGCAGCAGGCGACCTGCCCTTGGTCAGTGCTGTCAGTGTATCTCAGCCATTCCAGTGTTTCCCTGTGAACACTCCCTGGCCACAGAAAAAACACATGTCTTAAGAATGAAACAGCTCAATCCTCATGTGGTGGTGCACACCTTTAATCCCAGCACTCATCGAGGCAGAGGCAGTCGGATCTCTGGGAGTTCGAGGCCAGCCTGGTCTACAGAGTGAGTCCAGGACAGCCAGGGCTACACAGAAAAACCCTGTCTCTAAAAAAACTGAACAAACCCCCAAACCCCTGAAAGCCAAGACTGTCACGGTTGTGCTAAGCACATGATTTGAAGACTATATTCCGCACAGAAGACAACTGAAACTGTGCCATAATATACAAAGTGAGAACAGATGCTGAGGTTTGCAGGGCCCGAGAGAACACTGAGGAAAGAGCTAAGTGGGGGGGGTGTTGTGAACAGGAGGACCCTCGGGCAAGAGTCACGGGCATATCCTTAGTGTGCGAACCCGAACAACCCAGTACAACCTGCATTTCCTTGCAGAAAGAGAATGTGTGGGCCAGGATCGGCCGGATATGTAAAAGATTCGTGTTCACTTCACTCAAATCAGGACAAACTGTGCACTCACCAAGTGCCAAGTGACCACGAATGTGCAGGCAGTACACACACATACGCACACGCACGCACACACGCACACACACACCTCAGACAATATGCCAGTGTGTGCTTGCACTCTGCAAACACAGTACCAGGCGGCTGGGGTCTGTCACACTCACAAAGTGCACCCCAGTTATCCGCGTGTTCACTTTGACTCTGTAAGAAATTGACACTGGCCGCAGAGAAACTGAGTCATCAGCGGGATCCAACCACTGGTGTGAACTGTGACCCACCCAGACACAACCTCACGGCCACACCTGCAAGCGCCTTTCCTTTAAACAACAGCAACAAAATGTGTAAACACAGTCTATCAAGGAAGATTTGGGGCTGGAGAAATGGCCCAGTGTGTAAGAGCAGGAGGACACCTGCTCAGATCCCCAACGCCCATCTACCAAGCTGGGAGGATGTCGTGAGCCGTGGGCGCTGAGACAGGAATCCCACTGGGACCTGCTGGGTGCCTGAAGGGCCCCAGGTGCAGGAAGAGGCCTTGTCGTGAAGGATTAGGTCAGAAAGGGGGACAGTGACTCCTCTGGCCTCCAGGCACATCCCCCGCCCCTCCTCCACAAGTCCCTTAATACATGCACACACACACACACACACACACACACACACACACACACACACACAC